GGTCAGCAATCTAATTAGATCAATATACGCCGATTACTCGATAACTGTATCGGCGTGCAACAAACTAACCTCCCCAATTCCAGTAAAAAGGGGGTCCTACAAGGTGACCCAGGCTCACCATTGATTTTTAACCTCTGTTTCAATCCTCTAATGAAAATGCTAGAAACAAAACAATATCAACAATGCGGATACATATGGGACTAACAGCCAATCTAAAATCTAGAGACTGGTTTCAGTTTGCCGACGATTCGGCAATCATTGCTAACAGTTCCGAGAGTGCCCAGAGACTGATCAATCTCAGCCAAACATGGTGCAAATGGACGGGTATGAAGCTGAGAACTGACAAATGCTGTACATTTGTAATAATACCTAGTAATGTCCATTCTGACTACAGTTTTATCAGAGTTCATTTTCCGTTTGTTCATCGTCGGACGAGGATTGTTAAACGATTGGTGCGATCATGGAATAGGATTGATAGTGAATTATTTGCCCGTCTTGTTTCCCAGTCTTTTGTTGGTGGTCCTTTTACTGATGGTGATCCAGAGATTGTTTATTGAAAATTCATGTCTAGTATGCAGTCAATAATTGATGTTGTTGCCCCGTTGCATTATGTTAAAACCAATAGCTCCCATAATTCTCCTTGGTTTGATGATCAGTGCAGAATGTGCAAAAGATTGTGTCGTAAACTTGAACGTGTTTATCGTCATATCCCGAGTGAAGCTAATAAAATTGCTTGGAGAAATGCACTAATGAACAAAAGTTCTCTTTTCTCGAACAAAAGGAATTTGTATTGGAAAAATTTGATACAGATGAATAAGTCCAGGCCTAAATTATTGTGGAACATGGTGAGTAAATTGTTTGGTAAATTCTCGGATAGCCATAGTTTGAGTGAATCAATTAATTTTACGCCATCTGATTTTGCTTCTTTTTTCAAGGATAAGATTAAGAGGGTGATGGACTTAACAGCTTCCTCGATTGCACCAGTCTTTTCTCATTGTAGGTTTCGGTCTGATGAGTTGTTCTCTGCGTTTTCTTTGTGCTCGGGTGACGAAATTAAAAAAATTGTTTTAGGTTCTCCAACAAAATCCTTTTCAAATGATTTTATTCCGACTCAAGTTTTTAAATCATATATCGACTTGTTTATTCCATTCTTGACATTTTTTGTTAACTTGTGCTTAAGAACTGGTTGTTTTCCTAATCCTCTGAAACACGCTGTTGTAACTTCTATATTAAAAAAGTCATCCCTTGATAAAAGTGATATTTCTAATTTCCGTCCAATATCCAATCTGTTGTTTTTGTCTAAGGT